CCATTTACTTAATTTTTTGGCTTCACCTGGTATGGCTTGTGCGAATTTAGTTCCCTGACCAGGGATGGAGTCTGGACCCTGGGCAGTGAAGGCTCTGAATCCTAACCACCGGACCCCCAGGGATTCCCCCCAGGCCCCAGTTTTGGGTTGTTTCAACAGTGATATAAGAAGTGGGAGCACTTGTATGAGACAATGCCTCAGTACCATTTGTATGTAAATTACTCACCAAACCATTTAGTTAAGAAACACTAACTAGTAATTTTTAGACCAACTAGAGACGAGACAGACCGGGACCCTGCTTTGCAGAGGCCGGGCCTGGGCCTGGGCCAGTGTGATGGGCAGAGTGGTCACTGGAAGCTGGCCGCGGGCTGAGACGCCTGTCCCCAGGCCGGCATTCGTTGTCATCAAGCGATAGCTCTGCTGTTCGACGAATTTTAGTTTAAAAATGGTGCCAAGGTAAGCCAGAAAGATAAACACCGATACAGCACACTAACGCGTGTACGGAATTTACAAAGATGGTAACGATGACCCTATACGCAAGACAGAAAAAGAGACACAGATGTACAGAACAGACTCTTGGACTCTGTGGGAGAAGGTGAGGGTGGGATGATCTGAGAGAACAGCATCGAAACATGTATATTATCAAGGGTGAAACAGATCGCCAGCCCAGGTTGGATGCATGAGACAAGTGCCCGGGGCTGGTGCACTGGGAAGACCCAGAGGGATGGGGTGGGGAGGGAGGCGGGAGGGGGGATCGGGATGGGGAACACATGTAAATCCATGGCTGATTCATGTCAATGTATGGCAAAAACCACTACAATATTGTAAATTAGCCTCCAACTAATAAAAATAAAGGGGGAAAAATGGTATGGAGATCTTAGGTCTTAGTGAAAATAAGAGGGTGTGTCTGCAAAATGGCAAAAATAATTTGTGCTAAGAATTTCTTCTTAGAGGGTATAGAGCACAGCACGTGGGCTAAATGTAATATACATTATTTAGGACATCTGCATAATACAACAGAATGCAAAACACTGAACATTTGGCCCAAATACAGTTATTTTCAGGATTTGCCAGGTCATTGCTTTTTAAAAACGTTTGTTTATTTTTGGCCGTGCTGGGGTCTTTGTTGCTGTGCGGGCTTTCTCTATTAACAGCTGCGGTGGGCAGGTTTCTCATCACAGCGCGTCCTGTTGCAGCATGGGCCCTGGGCACCTGGGCTTAGCTGCTCCTCGCCATGCGCAATCTTCCTGAACCAGGGATCCATCCCAGGTCCCCTGCATTGGCAGGCGGATCCTTAACCACTGGGGCAATCCCCAGATTGTTATTTACTCGTTTCTCTTTTGAGAGAATATTATTAGTCAAGTATTACAATCTTATAAACCAACTTCTTCCTGTTATGAATGAAGCACTTGAAGCCTAGAGGGGTTGAAGGCTGGACCAAGGTTTCGCCAGGTGAAATTTCACGCCCACCCTCTCCCCTCTGACCTAAGGGAGTTGGAGACAGAATAGGGTGACTGACTTCTGTCAAATCGATAAGAACCATGTCTTAAAACAACATACTTCACCGCTGTCATTCCTCACTCCAGCCAGGTCCACAATTTTACATGCACTTAAAAAAAATACTTTAGTCTGCAGACTTAAGCCTCTATGCATAAACCTTAGCCTCTACATATAAACCTTAGCCTCTATGTATAAACAGTTTGGCAGTTAAAACTCTCTGACAGTGGTTTAATGGACTCTGCAGCGCAACCAGGAATTTCTTGGCAGGAAATTTCACATTAGGAACTACAAAAGGTAATACCTTACTGATGAATTGTTTTCTTCTCATTACTATCAGAATAATACTACAATAAAAAACAAACTGAAGCTTTCCATTTTTTTTTTTCCTGGAAAACCAGTGACTACCTCAAGAAACTTAGAAAACACTCTTGAAGATGCAAATGGGCCTGAGTGCTCCAGGGTGGTGCAATCCTAATTTTTTAGAATCTCTGGGGGTCACGACAAACCCCAAGTGTCACCAGCAAACATGTCAACATCTGAATGTTGTCCTTAAAATGGAAAAGCATCTGTGGTGACATGAGTTTTAGAAAATAAAACGTCCATGAAGCATGTTTCTGTTTTTAATTTTTTTGCTTTGATAAATCAGTTGCTTCACAAAAATCCCTTTCAAAGACAACAATCCAAGAAAACATTGTTACAGCATTCACATTTAAAGATTGTCAGTTCACAGACCAGACAGAACTAAATTAGGGGAGGGTGGCAGGGGTTTTTTCCTGTCCCTAACTGTCAGAGGCGGGCTGTTCTCACCTTCCTGGGATGTCTGAGCTTGTCTGAAAGAAAAGGTGCTCCCCCACTTTCTCGCCCTGGTAAGAGTCAGGTCAGGTCATGGGCAGGTTATGTGGAGAAGACTCTGGGACCCGGGCCACGGTGGCTCCAGCATCAGGGCCCTGTGGTCTTTGAGCGAGCTGGGGCCGTGGCCCACCTTACGTTGCACGCTGGACAAACACTTACACTGTTTTATTTCTGGAATCAGAACATGAAAGCTGCGTTACTGCGGCAGCTGGAGCATGGCTAGACGTGGCCCAGCCATCTGCTACCCGCTGAAGAGCTGAGCAGCAGGTAACACGACACTCTCAACCTGGGTTGCAAGACACAGTCAAAACCATCCTTCAGGGAAAGGAATTTAACAAGAGCAAATTCCTTTAAGATGAGAGCTCAGCAGGGTTGTGCTCTCTCAAATGCTCTAAAAACCCCAGGGGCTGGGAAATGGGTCTTTATTAGGTGCCAGCTAACTACCAATGCCCCAGACAGTGGCTTATGAACCAAAACAGTCTGCCTGTTGGCTTAAGATCCCATTAGTTACTCATGAGAAGAGCAGCATGGAGCCCAGGTGCATGCATGGAGCCCACTCTCGAATGATCTTTATCCTAGTCCTCTGAATGTAGGGACCAGGATGCAGACTTCAGCTGCAGGGAGCAGGGACTGTGACCCCAGGCACTGACTGCCGGACCCCAACATGGCCCTGATGTGGCCCCATGTCCCCGGCTCCAGGGGACAGGATTTCTGCTTGGGGAAACTGACCTGGAGTGACCACAGGTCGTGGTCACCAACCTGAACCTGAGGTCAGAGGGACGGAGGGAGGCAAGGGAGGGAGGAGGTGGCTGGCCAGCTTCCACAGGATCTCGTCTTAAATCCTAACTTTGTTGGACTTAAAACAATCTTTCAAACTGGTATAGTTTAAAAGATGTGACTTAAAATATATAAAATTGTTTAAAAGGAACACAACAGCTGCTTTAAAATGTTATTTTCTCCCCCAAAAGAGAGTCAAGTTTTTCTTTTAAATCTCCTGAAATATTTTAAAAGAAATTCCTCTGTATTTCTTGCTTCCTTCTAAGTTATCCAGGAAGTACTCTCCTATGACTAACTTTAATTATTAATAATTTGGGAGGAAAAAGTCAGTTCCAGAAAAAAAATCTGCACTTGCTCAAAACACCCCTGGGTAGCCTTGGTCCACAACCACTCACTGTTGCTGCTTTTCAGGAACTGACGACCATTAGACCGTCCTTCAGGGCTTCAGGTGTCCCACGGATGGTGACGCAGAGACATCTTCTGTGAGACCAGGTCCTGTTTCCTCGCTGAGAAAAAGCCTCACTTGAAAGGAAGCAGGCGGGTGCAAATCCAAACCCAGGGAAACAAGCCCAGTCTGCTCTGTGGTCCGTCTGGTCACCAGGAGCCAAAGTCCCACCGTCATCCAGAAGTGACGTGATCAAGTCAGGGGAAGAACCACCGACTGAGTGATGACGAGCCGCCGCCCCACCTCCAGGCCCTGCTGGTTCCTGTCCGTCCTGCAGTGCACACGCACTAACCGTGTAACAAAGCCGAGGGTCTGTTCTTTGCCTGCTCTGAGCCAACAGGATGGACGCTTGATAGTAGTATATGACACACGTTCTATGCATAACATACGCTGACCAAAAGCTCCTAAGACAACGCCCAGCTAACATGGCACATCACCACTTAACCGTGGTCAAACTTAAGTTAGACGGAAATAGTCAGCAAAAGCTTTTAACTGACCACTGGCTACCACTTCTTAACTCACCTAAGCCCTACTTAGTAAATACCTTGAGATGTACATTTAGATCAAGTGTAAATTGCAATCTGAGCAATATATTGACTAAAATTTGAAGATATCAAAATTTCATTAAATAGATGTTTCTTTTATAGTAGAAAATGTGAATTACTACCCTGGGAGAGCAGAGAACCAGAATGCTAGCTAACTGGGGGCAGGTTCATCAAATTTGGCCAATTCAGAACATTCCAAATTGAGACAGTCAATAAGCGTGTACTGTTTCTCCTCTAGAATTTACCCTTGACATAGTCATAATCCAATTCATAAGGAATTTATAAAAATAGCTTTTTATCCAATAATTCCAGCAAGGTAAAAATAGGAGTTTCTTTTCATATATAGCAAATGACACAGGCTCACGGAACATGAGAACGGAACCACATTTGAGTCACCAAACATTCACCACAGGTCACACGCGGTTTATTGTGCTGTCGTCCGCCTCGCACGGGCGGTCTCCAGGTGCAGAGGCTTCTTCCTAATCCCGGGGCTGACAAATAAACCAGCCCCCTGAGACCTGCCTTAACCACAGAACGAAATTAAAACTGCATAATTGTTCAGAAAATGGCAGCACTAGTCCTTAATCTAATTAGGGGCTCATGGGGCAGAGGGAAGGTGTTTGTCATTCATCACATTTTTAGCGTTAAACCTTTAAAGAATCTCCTTAAAAACACACGCACACACGCACACGCACACGTGCACACACACGCACACACACACCTTGAAAGAAGAAGTCGCTGCACCGGCAAAGACGCCCTGGAAGCTTACTATGAAATACAAAAGTGCACTCTTCTATGCCTACATATAAAACATATTAGAAATAAAACTGTGTAAAATGTTTGCTGTGCAAACTATAAAAAGTGGGGCCGGGCGGCGGGCCCTACTGCAGGGAGTCGCTGTTCTCCAGGACCAGCCCGCCCAGGTGGCCGGGCGCCAGTGCCGCCCCGCCGTCCCCCGTGCTGTCCACTGAGTCGTCCTCGCTCTGCTCGGCCATCATCACCTGCTGCACCGCCAGCGTGGCCCCGTCCGATGACAGGGACTGCAGGCTGTCCACGTTCATGCTCACGGGCGTGGTGATGGTCACGACAGCTCCTGCGGCACAAGGCGGCGTCACCAGGCCATCGGGGTTCAGTGACCCCCGACTGTGTTTCTGGGACCATCCACAGGGATTTAAGGACTGTCTCTAGGATCGTCCCAGACCCTGTAAAGCTCAGCTCTCTGTCTAGAGAGGGTCTGAGGGTCAGGATGGTAAAGGGGACAGACACCTGGGGTGGAACGCAAGCGTCACACCGAGGACAAGGGACCCAGGACACAGGGGAGAGGCCACAGGGGACATGCAGGGGTGGGGGGATGGAGGCCAGTCTGCGAGGGAAAGTGAACGCCTGGGACACACGCTCCTTGTGCTCCAGCCCAACAGCGGGGGAGTGGGGACTGCCAGGTACCCGCGAGCGGGACATGGCCTAGAGGCGCTGGGCCGTGAAGGCTCTGCGCCAGGAAACTGCACAGCTGGATGAAGCCTGAGGGGACACAGAGGGTGAAATACCAGGCGGTGGGCGCATGACACACACACCGCCCCCTGCACTCACGCAGGAGGGGCAGAAAGAGGCGGGGGTGACCTTGGGGGTCTGGCCGCGCACCCCGCTCTCCCGGGCACCTGGACCAGCACTGTCCTCACAGTCAGACGCAGCAAGACTGCTGCGTGCCCTCGGCTTACCGCCTCAACCGCACCTGCAGGACGGGGTCACCCAGCCCGGTGCCCACCTTCAGACACAGTCAGCTCACTGGCGGCTGGCTGTGCTGCTCCCGAGGCGATGGAGTCGGGCCAAAACCTCTGGACGGGTCTGTTCTGAGCAGTTTTTTTCTTTGTTTTTGGAGTTTCTGAGCAACTAGAATCCAACATCGGCTGTAGGATTCGTCTTCTCGCGTTGATGAACCTGCGTGAAGGAAATACTCATGTCAAAATGGCCTTTCCAAGGGCCCCGTGGCCTCAATGACAGGCCAGGTGCTTCACAAACCACATGAATGTGACCACATATTCCCTGCTGTAAGAAGCGCTTAAGAGTAACGCCAAGCATCTCCTCTAAACTTCCAGAGAACAGGGCTGTTTTTAGAGTAATTCACTTGAATAAAGACAGACTGTCCCACAATGTCTTTTCTCCACTCTGATTTATCCACGTCTGTGAATTGGGTATTCACGATGACACAGATGATGCTGTTCAAACTGGGGATGTGACATGCCCTTCTCTAAGGAAGCGGCAGGTTAGAGCAGCAGAACCAGGCACCCTGCAGCCTCCACGTCCGCGGCCCGCAGGCGGTGCGTCTCTGAGAGCCCACCCGGTCAGGCCCTGAGTGCGGACAGATGTCCAGCTCTGAGGCTGCCTAACTGAAATACTAACATTCAAAAACATCTCCAATTGCCCGAGGACATATTCTAATGACAGATATGAACAGGCTGACACCACAGAGCTTCGTTCAGAGACCGTCTCTGGTCCCTGTGGCTGAGTGTGAGCCGGACTGAAGGGTCACAACAGCCCCTTGGTGCACCACAGACCCCAGCATGACCTGGGAGGGAAGCCCGCCGCCATCTCTGTCTGTCCTTCTCTGTCAAAGCTGCTACAAGGTACAGGCATGAGCTAATGATGGGTGTGTCCAAATTCACTCCAAAATACAATTTTTGCAAATGTAGAAAGAAAGAGTCACAAAAGGTTAAAAATGGCCACTAGAAGACTTCAGAAATTTTAGAATTTATAAAAGACATGTATTAAATTGTTACTAATTTTAAAATTAAAAGCTGAGGTCAAACCTTCTAGAAAAGACAATTCTGTTAATAGCACAGAGGAGAGTTAGGAACGTCAGGGGCCCACAGGTGAAGAGGCTGACAAGCCACTGACCATCAGCACATCCAGAGACATCGCTCTGTCCTCCGCCCCTCACCCATTCGTCAGTCACTGAACCAAAACACAGCTGCTAAACGGGACGCCGTGAAGACAGTGGAGACTATGATAGAAAAAGATGCGACAAAACTCACAGCAACAAAACACTCAAAACCTTTCAACTCTTGTTAACACTCTGTTTAGAAGATCCAACAGGAAATAATCCAAGCACCATGGCTTATAATTGCCACTTAAGTCAAAAACAATAGCTCAAAGGCAAGATAGTAGAAATACTTAATGCAGTGCCAAAGCATACCTCCAGCATGTATAACTGCACAAAATGGAAAATTTTTATTGTTTATATTGGAATCTATCTGACCTTCAAATTTAAATTTTAACAGTTAAAATGAAAATACAACAATGCTTACAAGTGGTAGACACTGTGTCTCCTTTTACGCATGCCAATGTTCTTAAGCTGAAATCATTTCCTACATCTGAATGATACATAAAATAATAAGTAAAAAATGAGGCCAACGACGGAAAGCACGATGCAAGTGCACATTTAGACCCCAGTGCCACTTGGTGACATCACTGCCTCTAATTTAAGGGAAACACACGGTCAGGGTCCAAGTGTCCACAGTGACACGTGACACCAGAGCCACAACAGGGTGCTTCCTCTCTAAAGTACACGTTTCCTTCTCAGGGCCCCTTGGGCCTGCTGTGGGGCAGGACCACTGTGGCCGGCCAGCTGGGCGGCTGCCTCCCCACATCACTGTTGAAAGGATACAGGGTCTCAAAAGGACGGAGGGGGGTGGGGGCCACCAGTGATCAGGTGAACTTACCTCAGCTGTCCACGGCCCAGGGAAACTCGTCCACAAAACATCATGGTTTAAGGGGGGTTGGGGGGGAGGCCCTGGAGAAACGCATTTTTGATTGAGCAAGTAGATCATAGGGAAAAGTCCTCAGGCATCGGTCACAAAACTTAGGTGAAAGTGTGTGAGATTTATGCTTAAGTGTCCTGCCGCCAATTCCAGACTCTGCTAACAGAGGAATGTTCATGTAATTCACCCAAACTGTACTATTCACTGGTGTCAGGATTTCCAGGTGTGCTGTTGACGGCACAGTTTCAGAAAGTGGGTGCATCTTACCAGTTGTTAACTTGGAGTAGTGTCAAGTTTGTCTGAGCAGCAATCTGTTTTTTCTCATCTTCCGTCGGGTACGGATGCTGAAAATAAAAGGAGTGTCACTGTGAACTTTAGTTTTTAAAAAAGGAACTCAAGACCATCCTGGTAAAAACAGAAGCACACAAATAATTGTTAGTAAAAACTGGTGTGAACAGTGCTTTTAGCTAAAACTTAACTTTAGTCTTATATTTTTTCCCAGAAATGCCTACAACAGAATGAAGCCTTTCTCCCAGCTGCCCAAGAACACAGGTGTTGCAGCAGCTGGTGGAAGCCCAGGCAGAGGTGTTGTCCAGACGGGAGTCTGGCTCAAAGGCCACGGGGAAGGGAAGAGATGAAGGTAAGAGCATTGGAAGTAGAGGGACTCTGGGGGCTCTGCCCAGAGGTGCTGCTCTAAGCACCCGATACAACTAATGGTTTTTCTATCAGCTTCACAGGTGTCATTTCAGAACCATAAACTGTATCCATTTAAAGCAGATAAATGGCTGCGTTTTGACCCACAGCACAACAGATAATGTGATCACCCGTGCACATCCTACACAGGAATCCACTAATTCTGCACACTCACAGACGAGGAGCCCGAGCAGGGCAGGGCACACCCTACCCATCCTGGGCTGGTGGAACAGGAGGCAGCAGGAAGCGGCCTGGACAGGCTGCCCTAGACCATCACGTCCAGGTGACACATTCTGTCATGGGAACTGTGAGCATGAACTGGACGGGGATGCACTGTGGTCACCTTACAACATCTGCTAGGCTACGAGTGCTGTCAGCAGAGAACTCAGCTGGGGGCTGGGGAAGGGGTGTCTGCTATTTCTTCTTTCTTTCATGGATAACTGAGATATGTCACTTAGAAAAAACAGAATTAAACCAGAAGTAAATACAGACACACCTAGGAAATACTGCAGGTTCAGTTCCACACTACCTCATTAAATCGAATATTGCAATAAAGTGGGTCACAAATTGTTCCGCTTCCAAAAAGGTATATAAGTTGTGTTTACACTATACTGTAGTCCAGTAAGTGTATAATAAGCATTTTTGTCCAAAAAAAAGTACACACCTTAATTAAAAGAAACTTCATTGCTAAAAATAACTATCATCTGAGTCGTCAGCAAGTCATGATCTCTTCACAATAGTCACATCAAAAATGACTGAGCACAGATCATCGTTACAAATATAGTAATGATGAAAGAGTTTGAAATAAATATTGCGAGAATTACCAAAACATGACCCAGAGACACAGAGTTGAGCACATGTTGTCAGGAACAGCACCGACAGATCTGATTCACGCTGAGCTGCCACAAACCTTCAACTCCCAGAAATCGCGACATCTGACAAATGTGATATGCTTGTGTCAAAATTCACAGAAGCAGCAAAGGAAGGTAATTTCTATCTACAGGAATAACGTGTCCAGACGTGACTATCCTCCACATGGGGGACCAAAGAGACATCTACTCTGAAACCTACATGCACTCAAGTCCCTCATTTTGCACTGACCAGGACCCCAGAGAGTGGGCAGCGCCAACAAAGAAGGAGGTGGGAGTGTGTTTCAGTTCTTAAGTGAGCATCCTGTGCTGGGAAAGTCACTGTGTGTCTTGGGGGCAACGGAACAGCAGCAGATTCATCTCAGCAGCACTCCAATGCCTCACACTGACAGTAACTCACTTTCACTCCACAGAGGCGCGCACACGGAGCCAAATGAGAGCTTCTGGGAACAGAAATATTGTTCTTGTCCTCTAAAAAGCTCATAAAATAAAAAGGTGACAGGAAGCAAGTACACAAACCAGGAAAAAAACAAAAGTAACAACTTCTGCCTAGAGTGTGAGGAAAACCACAAAGGGAGGATAAAATTTACAGGAAACGAGGGCAAGAAGACATAGAAAATGTTCACACGGGAAAAAAATTGGCATTTTAAAATGAGCCTATGAGCAAGGTCTATTTTAGAAATGATTAATACATTAAAGGAAACAACAGGAAAAAACTCAATTCCATTACGTGTGTAATAGTCCAATCATTATATTATAGACGTATTCACTAGCTGTAATAATCACAGTTCATTTAGAAACACTTCCTAGTGCTTTGGGCCCTCGTTCATGGTGTTAACTAGTTGCACGACCTTCCATCAAATCCATGGGTCCTGATTCACACACCACCTCATTCCCCATTATTATAATGAACATCACTGTGACATTCTAGCCATGAAATCTCCATTTCCTTCTGACTCTCTGGGACCAACCTCCAGATGAGGCTGTACTGCGGCAGACAGCAGTGCTTCCTCCCACATGTGTGCGTGAGCTGCCCCCTCCCACCAGGGCCCAGCGTGCAGAGCCTGGCTCCAGGCAGAGGTAAGAGGCTTAGCAGTGACCAGGGCCAAGCCCCAGGGGGACACGAGGCGACAATCGGGTGCTGGCCTTGGGGCTCCCAGTCGAGGGAGGACAAAGAAGATGCCAAGGCCTTAGCCCAGGCGGCGGGCACCTCTGGGGGAAAGGACTGTGGCGACCTGAGGGCACCACGGTGCACCGGGCAGAGGCAAGGAGGCGGGCACAGAGGATGCGGCTGCGGGGGGTGACGACGGTTGTGATGCCAACGGGCAGGTCTGGGCCCACTGGCTCAGCTCAGGAGCAGCCGCGGGCAGGACTGTGGAAGAAAAACCTCGTGGATGGACATGCCTGGTGGAGAGGGGCTTCCTGCCAGCCTTCCTGGCCTCCTGCCCCTCTGGATGCCAGAGGCAGCCTCCGAATCTGACAACAAGCCCCTGCCCCCCTCCTCCACCTGGACAGGCTGTAACTCAATGGGTGAGCACTTTCCTACCTCCACCCCCTTCCACCCCCCCCCCACCCCCCGAAGGTCAGCCTGTCCTTCCCAACCCAGCAGCTATAACACTGTCACCCCTGAAAACTACTCGGGGTCACCCCCTCTCCTGAGTCAGGGGCATGAGGACTGGAGCTTGGGTGGGTCATGAACGAGTCTTCCCATGAAATCAACAGACCAAGCTCCACTTCACAGTCAATAGCCCATCTGCCAACCACTCTGCCCACAAGCTCAACTCCTTACCTCCCTTTCAAATCCAACATACATAAAGTGTTGAAAGTGTTAGTTGCCCAGTCATGTCTGACTCTTTGTGACCCCATGGACTGTAACTCTGCCCATGGAATTCTCCAAGTAAGAATACTGACTGGAGTAGGTTGCCATTCTCTTCTCCAGGGGATCTTCCCAACCCAGGGATCGAACCTGGGTCTCCCACATTGCAGGCAGATTCTTTACAGCCTGAGCCACCAGGTAAGCCCATAACATATATAAAACATAACTATTTTGCAAGGTTTTGCCTGAAAGCACCATTTCTCTGCCCGCTTCTCTAATCAGCCTCACCTCCCCCCAGGCATGTTCCACAGGCAGTTTCTCTTGAAGCCCAGGCACTGTTAATATCAGCTGAACTCATTCCCTCTCACTATTGGTATCCCTGGTTGATTTCAGTTTCCTGAAGCCTTTCCTCCAATTCTGGGTAGCCCGCCCTCCTGTCTCGTGGTCTATGCACTATGGACAGTCAACAAAACACCGATTCTTAAAAACTGGCCTACCAGCCCATGTAAGTCAATGCTTCCTAGACAGTAAGCAGAAAGAAAGCATCTCGAAGCCGTGCTAAAGGGGCAGTCATGTCTGTTCTCACCCCGATGTGCTGAAAGAGCCAGGACCGCATCACGTTGGTGGCGTGCTTCGGCAGGACCCCCCTCTTGTTCTTAGATGAGCCATCATCTTGATGCAAGATGCTGAGATCTTGGTTTAACTGTAACTGAAGCTTTTAAACAATTGAAAATAATGTTAGCACAGAATGTGATGGCATATCCAACTAGCTTATGACTGCAGGTGGCGAGAACAGCCAAGGCTCTTCTGGGTAAACAACTTATTTATAGTATAGGCACAAACAGCTGGACTCCGTACGGGTTAACTTTCTGAGGATTTGGTCCCCGCATTGTAATCATTTACACTCGTGTCTCAGCTATAGCGAGTGAGGCAGGTGGGACGGGCACTGAGAATCAGCCGAGTCCCCGCTCTGCAGACAGGTGAGCCCCTTCTTGTGCACACCTGTCCTCATCTCGCTGCCCCTAGCAACAGACGTGACAGCAGCCCATTTCCTAGCCTAAAAGCAGCCAATGAGAAAGGACAGGGAAGCCAGAAGTGCCACTGACTAGAGGAGCCGGGCCAGGAGAACAGGAAGCGTGGGCAGAGGGGCGGAGGGCCCGGCGACCTCAGCCCAGACGGCTCCACAGCCACTTGAGCCACGGCCTCCCCTACCCTGAGCAGAGTACGAGATGCCTGTTCACTCCATCTTGGAAGGAAAAGGATGCATGTCTAACACCCCTCAGACGGGGGTCTGCCACATAAACACGGGGAGGGAGCTTGGGGCCCTGTGCCCGCCCTGGGCGGCACCTCACTCCCAGCTGCCGCGGAGACACGGGGCCATGGTGTTCACCACCCAGACCAGGGACAAAACCAGGGCCCACGTGGCAGCCTCCACACTGGCACAGCAGGGCCATGCCCCTGGGATCCGTGCTTCAACTTAGAACTTATGGATGAGGCAAACTTTATACATAAACATGCAGTAGCTTCTGCAGGTCAGTTTCAGTATCATATGGTCATTAACATAGTTTATAGGATTTGGAAGTTCATTTTGGAGAATAAAATATATTTTCACTATATTACCTGTACTTCCTCCAGATTTATATCATTTTGGATAAATGAATGCCAACATTTAAACAGAATTCATGACTTAAAGGAGACATTACAACTGTATCTAAAATTTCTGAAAACTCAAGATTACTACCATGAGCATGACTATTTTCTGGGATGCATGTGTGTTTTTACTGAAGGACTGGGTAGTATGAAGCATTCTGTACACTCATGTGTGTGTGCACATGGAAAACGGACTCTTAAAACTAGTTCCACTGGGGCTGGAATGGAGCCTGAGGTGTACCTGCCTCATTTATGGCCTTCTTCATGAAATCTGACATGGGGCTCCATTTCAGTGTCGCTTTTCTTATGCAGGGTGAAAGCACATGTGGCTTCATGAACAGGGCAAGTGACAGCTGGCTGTGTCTCGACTTCACGGACACCACCAAGAGGATCTGAGGAGGCAACTAGGCTGAGGGCCTGCAAGGGGGCCAGCACGCCCAGCCCACTGCTCTCCAGCACTGCCTCGGCCTGCACGTGGCACGGGGATTTAGAAGCCTAGGAACCTGGGTGAAAACTTAAGGAGTGAGACCCCCACCACCCCCATCATTCTCAGCGCATGTCCAATCGGCCCCAGCCCAGCAGGAACTCGGGGCATCTCCCCAGAGAAACAGAACAGAGGCTGCAGCCTGAGCACAGCTGGAGAGCAGGAGGAGGGGGCAAGGCTAGAAAGAGGCTGAGGAAGGTTTGCACAGAAGTGCAAGACCCCCACCCACTCCCGCCCCTTCCCCAAGCAAGAAATCTAAGTCTGCTCCAGCAAAACTACAGAAGGAAGAGGGCAGAATTTGGAGGTCAGGCCACAGAAGAGCCAGCTACCATGGCCACAGCCTGACAAGCAGCAGACAGCATTCATGTTTATACTGAGAAGAACAGTCAACTCTCCCCAGACACCTGAAAGCCTCTATCACAAACCGCAAGCACCAATGCAATTAACCAGGTGTGAGGCAAAGGAAATGGACAGGGGACCTTCACGGATGTGATTTCAAAAAAAAAAAAATCACAGAGGGCTAAGAAGAGTCTTAGAAACTAAAACTACACTTAGTATTTTAAACTTAATAGATGGGTCGGAAGAGAACAGGATCTCAGAATGTAGATAAAAAGTGGACAGTGGGAACACAAAGACAGTAGAGAAAAATCAGCACTCAGCTTAGCAGGTCGCGTGTCCAGTTAGTAAGGGCTCCAGGAGGACAGGATGTGCGTGGGGGTGGAGGTGTCACAGAGAGTTCAGGGAGATGTCCCAGACTCAAGGATGCAAGGTCCTCGGCAGTGCCCGGCACAGGGCAGCCCAAATAGTTCTGGTAGGACCATATACACAAATTTACAGGTTTTATTACTCCCAGAGCACCCCACCAGGGCCCCCATCAAACTATTTACTCTTCTGTGAAAAACCCCACGGGGCTTGTTTCTGTGCTCCCAGCCCCGCTGCCCTGGGAATGACAGACAGCTGGGACACGGCGGGGGTTGGGGCTGGCCAGGACCAGGGCAGAGGGGGCTCGCTCGTCAGCCATGCTGCATGCTAAGAAGGGGCTGCACTGACCTAACCCACACTCTGCACGTCTGCTCTGTAAACTAGAGGAAAACTGAGTCATATTCTCCCTTAAATGACAGCACGAATGTCATTCAAAATGTCTACAAAACAAATAAGCATGTGATTCATGAGTGCTCTTCCTCTAATTCTTCCCTATGACGCTAGGAAATGCTCTGCAAGCCAGCTCTATATTCAGAGCCGTTGTAAATGGAAAACTTCAAGGAAAGCAGGCTCGTGGCGGGACGGTGGAGGAAGGGTGCTAGGGGGCCTAGCCTCACCCTCCCCGCTGCTGGGCCTGGGAAGCCACCTCGTGTTGCGGGCCCATGGGCCCAGCAGGCCCCTTGCCCAGGCCTTCTCATACCTGCTTCTGAGTTAGGAAAACGTTGACATGCCTAGTGCTGGGCCTCAAAGTGGCCAACAAGGATGTAGAAGACATCCATGCAGGCCAAAGAGAACTAACGTAAACAATGGTCTGAAATAAGTACTGATAACAGAAACACTGCTTCTGATGTAAACCCAGAGAAGTGGGGGAAAAAAACAAACAACTGCATGTGTGTCTAGAATAGAAAGGAGACTGGCCTTATTTCATCACAAAGGCAGAGAGGGCAGGAGGACTTCAAGGCGGGGCACACCACAGCATTTATAGCTCTGTCACTACTGCAAGCCCAACCCCACACCCTTAGCTAGAGGCCTGCTGTCTGCCATGAACCTCCAGGGGTCTGGGAAGGATACATCTACGCAGCCTCCAATCTCCAGCAGTGGAGACAGCTGCACAGCCCCACGTGGTGGGGAGGGGTCCTGAGCGACCTTTTCCTCCTTCCTTAGGCTTCTCTGAACTTTGCAACAATAAGGCAGACAAAAGTGAAAGACAGGCAACATGGACATTCAGACTAACTGGGGAGGACCTGAGGAAGCAGGTCTGGGACAATGACCTTCATGCAGAGGGGAGAGGTTGAGCCCAGCTCCACCTGTACCCCACACTGTGAACACACGCCCCATCCTCCCCCTGCACTGTGAACACATGCCCACCCCACCCCACCCTGCCCAGCCCACTTCCACGCACCTGGGAGTTCTGGATCCGAATGGTGCCAGGCGACAGTGCCTGTGTCACCACTTGGCCTTGGGGAGTGACAACTGTGACAGGCTGATAGACTGTACCCCCTGGAAAGGATAAGAAAAGTTAAATCACCCCAAGCCTCAACAGTGAACACCATGCCTCAATGTACTTATGGAAGAATAAAGTCGTAGCTTATGGGCTTTGAAAATCATTTCAGATGGTCACCAGCACTTTGGTAGTTGACCTATCACTTCCAGGGTGGGCAGAGGGCAGCCAGGGCTCCTCATGAGGCAGTGTGGGAGGGTGGCTGGGGGAGGTGGGGAGTCCGTGAGCCCCTTGCTTGGTTCGCCTCTATTTCCTGGCACGTCTTAAAGGACTCAGGCAAAGGTATGAGATAACAGTTCTTTTTACTCTAGTTATTTCTTTCATCCAATGTGCTTTCACCTTCCTGGGGAGGTTTCCTTTTGTGTGATTATGTGGGGGTTTCAGCATCAATTTCACCCCCTCCTTCAGTGCTCTTGCCCTTTTCATGATGGTTCTGATGTGCAACATCTACTAAAAACCATCACAGGAAGGAGGACAGAGTCTACAGTTCCTTGGTGCATCAAGAACAGGTAACCCCGGCATTAAGACTACATTTTCATTCCTTGTCATCAATTAATAATATGACTTATGGAATTCCAGCTGAAATATTTCAAATCCTAAAAGATGATGCCATGAAAGTGTTGCACTCAATATGCCAGCAAATTTGGAAAAACTCAACAACAACTTAAGATTTTCCAGGTGCTGCTAGGAGGACAATTAAAAATTGTGCTATTTAAAAATTTCAGGTGGTTTTTGCTATGTATTTTCAACTTCTATATAAAATCATTCCTTCCCATATTCTTTGACAGGGAAACACAATTTGCATAATATATTTGTTACTGAGAATTAACAAGAACCAGACATTCAAAGAGATCTAGATGCTGGTGGTCCTAGGAACTGGCATTAATTAGAAACATTGGTTATGTGCTGCTTCATTCTAACATGAAGGACTTTTTTCTGCAAAAGCTCAAGGAAAGTGTCTCTTTCCCTATCATCGTACCTGCCACTGTTGCCATGGTGACATTCCCCTGCTGCAAAGCGGATGCTGGCACCACGATTCCTTGGGGGCTAAGAGTGCCTGTGATGGCACTCTGAATCTGCTGCAAGTCAGAAACACACAGCGGAGAGGTTATCAGAAAACAGAAAACCCACGGTTAACACTTCACAGCAAGTGGCATAAAGGCATCATTAATAAAGGAAAGATGCTTGAGCAAAGAGCATCATCAGATGACAAGTCTTCACAAGGCATGTGCTACATCTGTATCTGGAAACCAAGAGATGCAAAACTGACTGTTAAATATGATGATCAATATTGAGATAGGACTTTCAATTTAGCTTCCAAAGATTATCTTTCACCTCATCAGCATACTAAACACACCCTTACAGCCCTGGAGGTATAATTAGGAAGACAAAAATTACCTGATCTCATGACACACCTTCTCCATTCAACTCAGCTCAGAGTTTTCCAAGAACCAAAGCCTCCTGGACAAGATGAACTATTCAGAAGATGATGTCACAGGCTGGGGCTGTGGCGGGGTGGGGGCGCACCCTGGGCAGCAGAGTCTGTACCTGCCCTTCCCACTGTGCAGAGCACATCAGAGCCCCCAGGGTTCAGGTGTGTGGGGTGCCAGGTCTGCGCCTGGCCGACTGCAAGAGCTATGCAAATGTCTGTAATACCACACTGGAGGATCTACTCACCTGAAGCCAGATCCAAATGGGCTAATTTATCCATTTTCTGTGATGGCTGCCCTGGGAGTTGACAAAGGACAGGCTCTCTGCACCTGGCTTCCAGCACTGGTATGGCACAGGGCAGGCACCCAGACATTTGAGGGGTTAAACAGCCTATGTGGATATCCTTCAGAGATAATTCCTCTGTGTGCCATCACGTCGATTTGAACATAAAAGCTCTGGTCAGTCTACATCAAGTTCGCTGCATAACTATAAAGCCACCTAAATCAGTCATCTGAGCTCCCACATCAGGACCACAGAAAAAGAGGAGCAAAATTAGATCAAAGCAAGCAGAAGGAAGGAAAATATAAAGATGAAAACAGGAATAATGAAATTGAAAATAGAAAAACAGACAAAGCAGAGATAAGAGCTGGTTCTTTGCAAAGATCAATACACTGACAAATCCCTAGTAAGACTGACAGAAAAAAAAAAAAGAGAGAGAAAAACAAATTACCAATAATGGGAATGAAACAGGGGAGATCATTACAGACCCTAAAGACATCAAAAGATGAAAAAAGAATACTACTGTAAACACTCAACACACATAAATTTGACATCTGCAAAGTGCAAAATGCAGCATGAAACAGATAATCTGAATAGCCTTATAACTAATAAGGAAACTGAATTAGTAATTTTAAAACTTCCAAAAAAGAAATCTCCAGGCCTAGGTAGTATCACTGGAGAATTCTGTCGAGCATTTAAAGAATTAACACCAGTTCTACATATCTCTTCCAGGAAACAGAAGAGGAGGGAATACTCTCCAATTCACTTCATGAAACTTATATTATCCTAATACCAAAGTTAGCCAAAGACTGTACCAAAGAAGAGATAACTAAAACTAAGATCATGGCTTCCTGTCCCATCACTTAATGGCAAATAGAAGGAGGAAAAATAGAAGCAGTAACATACTTTTCCTGGGCTCCAAAATCACTGCAGATGGTGACCGCAGCCACGAAATTAAAAGACACTTGCTTCTTGAAAGGAAAGCCATGACAAACCTAGACAGCATATTAAAAAGCAGGGACATCACTTTGCTGACAAAGGTCTGTATAGTTAAAGCTATGTTTTCTCCTGTAGTCATATACGGATGTGAGTGTTGGACCATAAAGAAAGCTGAGTGCCAAAGAACTGATGCTTTCAAACCGTGGTGCTGGAGAAGATTCTTGAGAGTCCCTTGGACTGCAAGGAGATCAAACCAGTCGATCTTAAAGGAAATCAACCCTGAATATTCACTGGAAGGTCTGACACTGAAGCTGAAACTCCAACACTTTGGCCACCTGATGCAAAGAGTCAACTTACTAGAAAAGACCCTGATGTTGGGAAATATTGAGGGTAGGAGGAGAAGGGGGCGACAGAGGCTGAGGTGGTTGAATAGCATCATCGATTCAACGGACATGAGTTTGAGCAAACCCCAGGAGATAGTGAAGGACAGGGAAGTCTGGGATACTGCAGTCCATGGGGTCGAAAAGAGTCAGACAAGACTTAGCAACTGAACAACAACAATTATAAAATTTATAAGGAAAGGCAAAGGAACTAGAATACCAAAAATAATTCTGAGAAAGAATAAACTAGGAGAAATCGACCTACCCAGTTTTGAGACACATATAACTGGACATGGAACAACAGACTGTTTCCAAATAGGAAAAGGAGTATGTCAAGGCTGTCACCCTGCTTATTTAACTTATATGCATAGTCCACCATGAGAAACGCTGTGCTGGAGAAAGCACAAGCTGGAATCAAGATGGCTGGGAAAAATATCAATAACCTCAGATATGCAGATGACACCACCCTATGGCAGAAAGTAAAGAACTAAAGAGCCTCTTGATGAAAGTGAAAGAGGAGAGTGAAAAAGTTGGCTTAAAGCTCAACATTCAGAAAACTAAGATCATGGCATCCGGTCCCATCACTTCATGGCAAATAGATGGGGAAACAGTGGAAACAGTGGCTGACTTTATTTTTCTGGGCTCCAAAATCACTGCAGATGGTGATTGCAGCCATGAAATTAAAAGACGCTTACTCCTTGGGAGGAAAGTTATGACCAACCTAGACAGCATATTAAAAAGCAGAGACATTACTTTGTCAACAAAGGTCCGTCTAGTCAAGGCTGTGGTTTTTCCAGTGGTCATGTATGGATGTGAGAGTTGGACTATAAAGAAAGATGAGCACCAAAGAATTGATGCTTTTGAACTGTGGTGTTGGAGAAGACTCTTGAGAGTCCCTTGGATGCAAGGAGATCCAACCAGTCCATCCTAAAGGAGATCAGTCCTGGGTGTTCAGAAGGACTGATATTGAAGCTGAAACTCCAATACTTTGGCCACCTGATGCGAAGAGCTGACCCATTTGAAAAGACCCTGATGCTGGGAGAGATTGGGGGCAAGAGGAGAAGGGGAAGACAGAGGATGAGATGGTGGGATGGCATCACCAACTCAATGGTCATGGGTCTGGGTAGGCTCCAGGAGTTGGTGATGGACAGGGAGGCCTGGCATGCTGTGGTTCAGGGGGTCACAAAGAGTCAGACACGACTGAGTGACTGAACTGAACTGAACTGAATAGCAGCAGGAATCAAGACTAGACAGTCTAGATACACATAACATAGAACACAGAAATGGGCCCTACTAATATACCCGACTAATTTTTGACAATAGTGCACACGTAATTCCATGGAGTAAGTATAGCCTTTTCAACAAACAGCACTGGAGTGAATGGACAAACATCAGCAAAAAAACAAACCTCAAAATGGGTCACAGGTTTAAATGTAAAATATAAAAATTTTAGAAAAAAAAAAGTAAGAGAAAAAATCTTTGGAATCTAGGGTTAGAAAAAGAGTTTTTAGACTTGGCACTGAAAAGTGTGACTCATAAAAGGAGATTTGATAAATAGGACTTTATCAAAATTTAAAAGGTTTGCTCTGCAAAAGACCCTATTAAGAGGATGAAAGATAAGCTATAGACTTGGAGAAAATATTGGCAAACAATATATCTAATGAGGGACTTGGATCTAGAATGTTCAAAGGTCAACAATTTTTAAAAAATCCAGTTGGAAAATAGGCAAAAGACATGAGTAGACATTCTACCAAAGAGGATACACAGATGGAAATAAGCATATGAAAAGATGGCTGCCATTTCCCTGATGGCTAACGCGAAAGACAACCACAATGAAATGTTACCACACACTTTCAATGGCTAAATACAACAGTGCTTCAACAAGGATGAAGTTGAGGACATTATGCTAAGTAAAATACACAAGAGGAAAAATGTGTCATGGTCACCCCTACACAAGGTGCCTAGGTCAGCTGAGTTCCTAGAGACATAAAGCAGGATGGTGGGGCAGGGACTGGGGGCAGGGAGGGCGAGAGGTCAGTTTCATGGGGACTGGGCTTCAGGCTGGGAAGGGAGGGCGAGGGGTCAGTTTCATGTGGACGGGGCTTCAGGCTGGAAGGGAGGGCCAGGGGTCAGCTTCATGGAGATGGGGCTTCTGGCTGGGAAGGGAGGGCAAGGTCAGTTTCATGGGGACAGGGCTTCAGGCTGGGAAGGGAGGGCGAGGGGTCAGTTTCATGGACAGGGCTTCAGGCTGGGAAGATACGTGTTCTGGAGATGATCGTAAGCATGGCTGCAAAAGCACGTGAGGCTGCTTAATACCCGAGCTGGGCACTCTAAAATGGTGAAGGTGGTAAGTTTTGTGTTATGCGTACTTTACCATAACATTTAATTTAAATAATTAAATTATTAAATTTATAAATAATTAAATTATTATTGATTAAATTATTAATTAAATAATTAAATTATTAATTTAATACATTCATTTGCAAAATGAGAAACAAAGAAATGACTGGTGCTCCGCCTTGGGCTCTGGGGTAGGATGCAGACTCAGGCCAACTTGGTTCATGGCATGGAGCCCAGGCGGGCAGTTTCTCTGGCCCAAGGGGCCATGTGTGTTCCCAGCACAGGCCATGTTCAGAGACCTGGAGGCTCCTCAGAGCAGGACAGCTGAGTATAGCTCCCCCCGCTTAGCCCCCATCTTGACAGGGCCAGTGGCCTTGGATTCCACACGCTTCACCCTTGCTGACACCGCAGTGACCCAGCAGGCATGCAGCCCTGACATAAATACCTGGGACTGGACGGGGGAGTATGGGCTGCCAGGTTCCCCACTCAGGAGAGTCTCGCTGTTCATCTTCGTTTTTAGACAAGCAATATAGCGACTGCAGAAATCTTTGCACAGCTCATTAACCTTTTCCAGTTCAAGAAGATGAATACGCAGAACCTGGATGGCTTTTACCATCTAGAAGCAAGAAAATCGAAACCTTCAGACAAGAACCAGGGAGCACAGGGGTAAGCAGCCATCATCACCACATAAGTCTCCTGTACAGACATGGCCGCTTGAGCTGCCAGGACCAGGAGCAGGAAGACATCAGTCTCAGAACCACCAAGCACTTCAGCTGCGCTGACCTGTGGCTTGGTGTCGGGCTCACTTGGTGAGTAAAGGGGGAGGCCTGCCTCCCAGACGGCAGGCATAGTCTGGGAGCTGCCGGGCTCAACCTGAGTCCCCTTGGGTGACTCACCCTGGCTCTGCTCCTGTTCCTTCATCTGTAAACGAGGATGAATCTGGACCTACATCCCAGGTGGTTCTTAATTTTGAAGAAGTTCAACTTACCAACTCTGCTTGCAATGGATTCTGCTTTTGGTGTCAAGTGTAAGAACTCTCTGCCTGGCCCTAGATTTGCCCCAGATCTTAAAGATTTTCTCTTACAGTTTTCCTAAAAAGTTCTTCAGTTTTATACAAAGGCACTAAATTTGGGAGTAATTTGCCTCCCAGAAGTACATAACGTGGACACTAGTGATGACCCAGTACCACAAACACCACTTCCTGTAACCCCACAGCCTAAACCTCAGCTCCATCCCCGTGACCTTGGTGGCAGCGGTTCATGCATCTCCATGGAATGAGCCAGCCAGCCAGCTGATGCCGAGAATGACCACGCACCAGCCCCGCTGGCCCTGTGTGGGGCGTCGGGCAGGAGGGCCCCGGTCCCTGCCAGCCTGGCCCACGCTGGCAGTCCTGCTCCCTGCTCACTGATGGCAGCACACGGAGGGCCAGAGGCAGAGAGCGCACATGGCCTTTATCCCCAGAGGGCGGGCGCTGTTGGTTCCATTTCCAAGATGAGCACACAGACTCAAAGTCAGACACCTCGTCTAGAAAGTCTATCTAGCTGTAAGGGTGGATACACACCAAGAAGTTAAAAACAACACCTACACCAGGGCAGTTTATTCAGGGAAGTTTTCCAAAAACCATTCCCTGCTGATGAGGGGCCTCGGGCTGTGGTCTGAGAGCTGGCCAACTCCTGCGGGGATCTGGTGGAAGAATGCGTCCCAGACACAGGTTACCAGAGCTGCCAGTGCTGAAGGGCACGGCTCCCCTGGGGCACTGCAGCGACGTCCCCCCAAGGAACACTCCACTGCCTTCAGAAAGCGCAGAGAACCCAGCGCTTCGGAGCAATGCATCTGGGAGGAAGCGCCCTCATGAGTCGGGCTGGCTTCGGACAGAAAGGCCAAGGGAGGCCGTGAGGGGTGCCAGAGGCTTTGTTAAGCTGGTCCCAGCCCCCTCCACCCCGGGTATTCACACAGCCCACCACCACTGCTGGCCTCCAGAGCAATGCCAGGGTCCACGATCAGGGAAGAGCTGAGAGCTGAAGCCAGGCAGGGGGCACGACGATCCCAGAGGACCTTCCCAAACACTCGGGAGGGACTGAACTCCTGGCCCACTCAGGTCACAGGCCCAAGCCATCTGGTTGGATTACTACAGGAAGGGGTCACTGGAGAATGCTGGAGACCTGGCTGATCTCAAGAATTGGAAAATCCCCCTCTTCAGCAAAACCAAAAACAATCCAAAGTTCTAATTAGAAATGTACAATTTATTGAACAGATTAAATTTAGAAGAAATAAAAATGAAAACCACAAATTTTACTTACTAAATTGTCAGTTTCTGGATCTTCACAGAAGAAGGGCTTTCCTTCCTTCTCCTGCTTCCTCACGAAGTTCTCAATGTCCACATCGAAACTGGCAGAAGTTGTGCCTTCTGAGCCCTGTGTAGACTGTTCACATTTTTCAAACAACAAAGCTAATAATGGAAATAGTGGATGCCTGGGGAGAAAAAAAAGTTAAAATATGTGTTCTACATTTTCATGAAAATGCCTTAGTATGTATATATGCACTGTTTTATATAAGAGCTTTGCTGAGATATAATTCACATGCCACACAATTCACCCACTTACAGTTTATAATTCAGTGGATTTTAGTATATTCACAGAGTTGTGCAACCACCACCATAGTCAATTTTAAAATATGTTCAACACACCAAGGAAACCCTGTAGCTGTTAGTAGTCACTCTCCATTCTCCCCCAAACCTCAGCCCCAGGTCACCACTAATCTGCTCTCTTACAGATTTGCCAGTCCTAGACATTTTTTACAAATGGAGTCATATATTTTGTGACCTTCAGTGTCTGACTTCTTTCACTTAGCATGATGTTCTCAAGGCTTGTCAGTGTTGGACCATGTATCAGTCAGTATTCCATTCTTTTTTCTGGCCATGTAATATTCCATTGTATGGTTAACACCAGTTGGGTAATTCTGAATTTACATTAGATCCATATTCCATTTTGCGTAGATTTTTGTACAGGATGTGAGGTTAGGGCAAGGACCTTCTCTCTACTCACTGATGTCCAGTTGTCCCAGCACCATTCTACCTCTTCTCCACTGAGAAAATCAAATAGACAAACTCTTCCAACTTCATTCTTCTTTCTCAAAATTGTTTTTAGCAGGTCTAGTTCTTTGGCTTCCATATAAAATTTACAATCAACTTGTCTATATGTATAAATATATCCTGCTAAGATTTTCACTGGAACTGCTGCAGAGCTAAAGATCAATTTTAGGACATCTTTACTATCTTGAATCTTCCAATCCATGAACATGGTATGCCCATTATTAAGGATTTCTTTGATTGCTTGCATGGGCGTTTTACAGTTTTCAGCATAAAGTTTCTGCATGTGTTTTGTCAGATTGACACCAAAAATTTTTTGGAGCTCTTATAATGGTATCATCTTTTTAATTTCAGTTTTCAATTGTACACTCTTGGTATAAAAATAGGATTGGTTTCTATGTGTTGCTGTTGCAACCTGTGACCTTATTAAACTCAACTGTTTCGTTCTGGACGTTCTTTGGTAAACTTAGGGATTTCTTATACATAGACAATCATGTCATAAAGCCAATTTAATTTCTGCCTTTCTAACTGGCTATGTCTTCTCCTTGTCTCGCCTCACTGAACTGGCTAAACCTCTGTCACAGAGATGAGCAGGGGGAGTCAGGGTGGGCACCTCTGCCTTGTCCCCAGACCTGGGGAAAACATTCCACCTCCACCATCAAGCATGATGAGAGCTATAGGGTTTCTGTAGTTTCCCTGCGTCAGGTTAGGCAAGTTCCCCTCTATGACCGCTGCACTGACGGCTTAGTTATAACTAAAATAGCTGTTGGCTTCTGCCAGATGCTTCTTGGCATCACTGGATAGGATCATGTCACGTGGCTCACTGGTTGATCTCTGAATGATGAACCAGTCTTGCTTCCTGGGATAAACTCCACCTGGTCACTAATATTCTTCTCTTTCCATGCTGCTTGACTTTGTTAATATTTTACTAATGACTTTTATGCCAAAGTTCATGAAGCATAATGACTGGTCTTCACTTTTCTTTTTCTGTATTGTCTTTGTCTGGCTTTGGTACCAGAGCTGATGCTCCATTCATAAGGTGAGTTCAGAAGCACCCCCTCTTTTTCTGTTTACTGGGAGAAATTGGGTAGACTTGCTGTTTTTCCTTCTTTATGGTAGAAATCTCTAGTACAACCATCTGGGCTTAAAGACTGCTTTTTGTAAGGTTGACTAAATATAGACTTATATTCCAAAACTTAAAAAAAAAAAAAGATACAAGAAATAACATGGTAACCTGAGAAAAATTTCACCCCAGCATTATCACATTCCACCCCACTACTCTGCCCCGCCCACAGCTCACTTCTGGTTTAACCAGGTTTCCCTCCTCACTACTCCTCTGAACAAACACCCACGGACTCCACATCTCACCACTACCTATAAATGGCCTGCTTGTCTGCATCCATTGGTGTCTGGGACCCCACAGGGGGAGGGCTCACTCCTTCCACATCTGGTTCAGAGCAGTTGGGGTCTTGCTCCGTTTTTAACTCTGTGACTACTTGCATCTGTGAGAGGAGGAAGAATATTTTTGTTACTAAAAACAAAGTAAGTTGCTGCTAAGTATTCTATTCTCAAAGCAGTGGAATGGCAAACTGCCAGACGGTTATATACCTGGCATTAGTACGTAAGGAATACTACCTACCAACAAAGCTCCTTTGAATGTGTTAATAATATGCTTTTAAATGGCTAAAAAAAATAGAAGGTCAGATTTCCAAACCGTTTAAAAGTTGAGAGGACTGATGTGTGAAACACTTATTATTTTCAAAGCCTCTGAAGGGACCCGGTGCACCCGACCCGTCCGCCTCTCTCTGCTGTGACACCCTCACAGTGGGTAAGGCTGTGACTGGGGAAGGGTAAACAGTCCATGCTCTCAGCTTGCCACAGAAACAACTCAAGCCCCAGACACTCCGCATGTGTGGTGGGGCTGGGATGCTCCCTTGCCTGTCCTTAAACTCAGGGATACAGGAGTTTTATACAGAAGGCATAAAACTTTAAGGGAAGTCATTGCATCTAGAAAGCAAAGACCAGCTGTGTTTAAAGAAACCGTTTTAAACAGAAGAGGAAGTCTTAAAGCTACTATCATTGAAATTGCTTCGGCTGGCTGTGCTTTTCAGAACTTAGGGGAAGAATATTTAAATCCCTAAACATAAAAGAAATCAGTTTACAAATAAAGCAAAACCACTCCGTTAACTTCTCTTATCCCTGAGCAGATCAGTGCCCCGGCTTCTTCAGGGCTGGGGTGTCTGGGGTCTACCTGCCCCGCCCCCGCCTGCTACCCCTTGCCCCTCAAGGAGGCAGACTGTTGGCGGAGCCTGGGCGGGGGGCCCAGGCCGCAGCCCTGCAGCCTGGCTCAGGCTTTGTTCTCGTCTCTCCGACAGAACCGAGCCAGCAGGTTACTCCATGATGCCTCTGGATGAAACAGCATACTTGGGAACAGTTTCTCTCTAAAAAATAAACCAAAACCGAAAGCAACTGACTGAAGCCCAATCAAACACAGTATCTCTGGAGAGAAGTCTGACAGTATTATTTTTAAAAAAGCTTAAGATTTATTTCAGAATTTTAAAAAATTATTGTGAAAAAAGAGAAATCTAACTCTTTGCCCTCAGAGGGCTGTCTAAGTAGACGCGGTCGGTCTATACTGTAGAAAATTAAATGCTTACTGGAAGGAACGCTCACAATAGTTTTCCACATCCTGGGAGGTGCGGAGATATTACAAGCACAGGCCCAGCCCTCCCTGGACTCACTGTCTCAGGGTCAGCTGCGGGGGCAGCGGAGGTGAGAGCATGTGAGGGTCCAGGGTCCCCAGGGCATGGAGCCCGCAAGAAGCCGCCACAGGGACGCCATTAGATGTGCCTCTGAGAAACAAAATCACTTGGAAATAGCAGAGGACTTGGTGAAGGGAGCAACCTGAAACTGAATTCCCCGTCTCTGAGAAGGAAAAACACTTAATGTGAAAAGTCAACAAAAACAAAATTGCTGTGATGAGAAACATCCCAGGAACGGCACAAAACTGTCCATCAAGGAGAGCCCTAACTTGGAAAGGGAGGGGGTGGGGGCACAGCCTCCAAATCTCACCACGTGGGGAGGGACAGGTGGGTGAGGTGCCCCAGGCTCGGGCACTCCCGAAACCCTCAAGCAGGGAGCCGGGTATCGTGACTGCCGCCTGCAGGGATAGGAAAAGCACAGACAGAACCCCCCGTGCCATCAGATGAGTCCCCTTCACCGCCCACATCTAGGGACAGAAACCGAGGAGATGGTCCGGCTCCCCTCAGACCAGCAAGCGGGCAACACGGGAATCTGCGATCATCAACACAACCAGCTTGTCTGTAAAACCGACAGTTACTAACACCAACATTAAAAAGGTAAATTCCCAAGAAACTCTGATTTAGGGGACTCAAAATTACTGAATCTTGGTGTCATTTAGGAAGCAACTTGAACAATTCTACACCTAATCTTTCAGAGCACTAAGATATAATAAATGCATCGAGCGTTTAACATTGAACCTGCACCCGCAGGGAGACGTGTGTGAACACACAGGCACTGCTGGTGCCCCAGCGCCAGGTCAGAGGCCTGCGTGGGGTGTGGGACGGAACCTGCACCCGCAGGGAGACACGTGTGAACACGTAGGCACTGCTGGTGCCCCAGTGCCAGGTCGGAGGCCCACGTGGGGTGTGGGACGGAACCTGCACCTGCAGGGAGACGCGTGTGAACACGCAGGCACTGCTGGTGCCCCAGCGCCAGGTCAGAGGACTGCGTGGGGTGTGGGATGGAACCTGCACCCGCAGAGAGATGTGTGTGAACACGCAGGCACTGCTGGTGCCCCAGCGCCAGGTCGGGGGCCCGCGTGGGGTGTGGGATGGAACCTGCACCCGTAGGGAGATGTGTGTGAACACGCAGGCACTGCTGGTGCCCCAGCGCCAGGTCAGAGGACTGCGTGGGGTGTGGGATGGAACCTGCACCTGCAGAGAGATGTGTGTGAACACGCAGGCACTGCTGGTGCCCCAGCGCCAGGTCGGGGGCCCGCGTGGGGTGTGGGATGGAACCTGCACCCGTAGGGAGATGTGTGTGAACACGCAGGCACTGCTGGTGCCCCAGTGCCAGGTCGGGGGCCCGCGTGGAGTGTGGGATGGAACCTGCACCCGCAGGGAGATGTGTGTGAACACACAGGTGCTGCTGATGCTCCAGCGCCAGGTCGGAGGCCCGCGGGGGTGTGGGACATGGGCAAGCGCTCACTTGTTGCCCATCTGGATAGCTGTCTATGCTCAGTGTCTGTGTCGCCATCATGGTGAAAGAATTCCTTATAAAACATCAGATCGTCTTGAGTCAAACGCAAATGGTGTCTGGGAAAACAAAAGCAGAGATGCATTAGTCACTAAGTCAGAGCAATGCTGTCCCCTTACTCCATAGAGCCCATATACCTTTTAAAATACATATTTCCACATGAGAAGTAAAAACCACCCTTCACTACAGTCTAAGACAAATATTATGCAGCACTCCGCACCTGCCTGGTAATCATACATTAGTACCTGCCTGGCCGATGTGTCAGCTTGTTTGCAGGCATTTGGGTCTCTTCCTCACTCACTGAGCAACACCTAGTAATGTCTACATGTGCAGGACACTGTCCTGGGCCCTGGGGCTTTCCCAGGACCGCAAACAGGAGGGACACCAGGCAGCACATGGGAGACTTGGGCAGGGTAACACGACAGAGGGTGAGCGTGCAGCTGCCGGGTCCCAGGGCCTTGTGACAGGGCAGGTACACAGACACTGAGCCTGCCAGGAGGCCAGCCTTAGGCAGGAAGGACACAGGAGGGCTCGGAGAGGCTGCGCCAGGCATCGGCTCACATCCACATGCAATGCAGAGGTGGACACTCATCCGCCTGCCAGTGCACACTCGGTAAATGAGACGAGGGAAATAGGTGGGGACAGAGGATGACAGGGGCAGAGGCAGCTGCCCGCCACCCACAGGCAGTGGTTGGGGGGGGGGGTGTTGTGTGCAGGGGGGCAGCAGGGTGGGGGCGCTGTGGGGACACAGAGCAGGTCACACCTGCTCACGGTCCAGGTGAACACTGTGGTCTTCCTGGGGGGAAAGGAAGTCCTGGGAAGGTGTGAGCAGGAGGGCACTGAGGCTTCAGCTCAGGACAGTCCCTCTGATGGTGTGCAGGGCGGGCTGAATGACTGTGGAGCCAAGGAGGGCAGGGGCATGTGGACAAGAGCCTCGGGAGCGTGCAAAGGGTCTGGGCTGGGCGTGGAAAGGGTCGGGAGAGTTGATGGTTCTCACCTGAGCAACCGGCTGAGCAGAGCCGCATGTCCCGAGGTGGAGCTGACTGTGGGGAGCAGGTTCTGTGACCTGGGGGGAGAGAGCAAGAGACGGGACATTGCAAGCTTGAGGTGCTTCTCAACATCCACGAGGGAACCTGAACAAGCGAGGCTGGGCCACAGAGACAAGCCCAGTAGCCATCATGGTGTGGCCAGCATGTGCAGAGGTCCGACGTGTCCTCCAGGAGGGCCCAGGTCCTGCCCAAGGCCTGCACACGGGGCCTTACTTAGACACAGGGTCTTCACAGATGTCATCATGTTAGGGGTGTTCTGAAAAGAGGGGGGAGTGGAGAGGCTCTAAGGGGCAGCCAGGTGAACCCCTGTGAATCGGAAGCAGAGACTGGAGTGACATTGAGATAAGCCAAGGACTGCTGGAGCCAGCCGGTCCTGAGGGGACCGAGCTGCTCACTGACTGGCGTCCCTGACAGCAGCTTCTGGGCAGCTCTGCCACGTTCCCTACGGTAGACCCGGACGAAACGCAGCAGAGCCCCTAGAGCGCTCCAGACAGACGACCAAGGCCACAGCCACCTCAGTCTCGGCTGGAAGCAATTCGCCAAGGTCTCTCTCGAGGACCCACCAGCGGGGGAACACACTGCAGCCAAGCCCACTGCTGCCCGATCCAAGTCGTGGGGGTCACACTTCCACTCTTTCAACTTCGGGGGCTTTCAGAATGCCCACAATGAATACTGGGGACAAGTCAAAATTTTATCAACAGAATATATAGATGTGTAGTCTTCTCACTACCAAATCTGGTTAAACCTTCAATATGGGACCTAGCTGGGTACAACTGTTCTAAAGGAGAATTTTGAAATTTGTGTGAAAATACGTGCTCTGTCTACAATGGAAGGAAGTGGAAGAAGTGGGCGGGGTGGGGGGAAGCAACTCCATGTGACTAACATTTCATTGAGTAAAGATGGGGGAAAGAGTGCCATGGTGACCGACACTGCCCCAGGACTCCAGGAAGCCAGGAAGCAGCAGCCAGCAGATGGCGCTGTCCGCGCGAAAGCGCGGTCCAGGCCCAGGCCAGCCCGCGGCACTGTCCACAGGTGGTCAATCCCAGGCAGCAGCAGAACGACCCTCCCCCTGGGCAGTAACACTGACTGGCAGCTGCGGGCGGGCAGCGGAATCCACGGGGTTCACCCCAGCAGAGCTGCCTGGGCACGGGAGGAAGCGTCTGCTCTGGTCAAGGCCTCAGACAAGCTGCTCAGCTGTTACAGGCCCTCCCGGATCACAGGTAGGCCCTCCCCTATTGCACAGAAAAGTAAGTTTCTATTATGTGCAAACTCAAACAACAGTACCTTCACTGTTTTTTTGAAGAGATTATACTCCACTTATAGTTACTTAAAAATACTGGCTATATTCCCTGTGCTGTGCGATATATCCTTGAATCTTAGTTTATTTTTACAAAATATTTACCTATTGCTTATTTGGCTGTGCCAGGCCTCAGTTGCAGGATTCAGGATCTTTAGTAGTGGCACACGAACTCTTAGTTGCAGCATGTGGGATCTTGTTCCCAGGCCAGGGATCAAACTTGGGCCCCCTGCATTGGGAGTGCAGAGTCTCAGCGAAGATAGGGACGTGCCTATCTTGTCCATATTAAACCTAGATTATGTCTCTTAATCCCCTACCTCTGTTTGCCTTTCCCCTCTCCCTGCTGGTAACCACTAGTTTGATCTCTGTATCTGTGAATCTGCTTCTCTTTTGTTATATTCACTAGTTTATTTCTTAGATTCCACATATAAGAGAACCATGCAGTATTTGCTTCTTATTTCACTAAGCTTAATATCCCCCATGTCCACCCATATTATCTCAAAAGGCAAATTTTCGTTTTTTATGGCTGATAAATATTCCATTATATACATGTACCACTTCTTCTACCTACTCATCTGCTGATGGATGCTTAGGCTGCTTCCACATCTTCGCTATTGTAAATAGTGCTGCTATGAACATCTGAATCAGTGTTTTCACTTTCTTCAGATACATGCCCAGGAGTGGGATTGCTAGATCACACGGTAGCTCTATTTTCAGTTTCCTAAGGAACCGCCATACTGTTCTCCACTGTGGCTGCACCAATCCACATTCCTACCAACAGTGCACACAGGTCCCCTTTCCTCCGAGTGTCCTCACTACTTATTGTCATGTGAGGCTCCAACATACAAGCTGGAGAACCACGAGCCCAACAGACATACAACACCTTGGTGTTCAAGGGGAATATGACATGCGCTTTATTTTATTCTACAAGTTTCATCCAGTTAAAAGAGAACACATTAATGGAAACTGTCACTTTGATACCCTTTCAAGAGTCCAGCCAGAATAATATAAATGAAGAAAATGCAACTTTGCAAATTTCATGCACAGAAATCTTAAAACTAAAAGTAATTTTAAAAGTACAAAATTTAAAACAATACATCCTTTTTCAGCTGGAAATTAAATCTTAAAGAGCAGTGTGCCACTTTGCTAGCAAAGATGAAGTGAAACCTGCCACTCTGAAGGAGTCCTAGGTCCAACAAATAGTGAAAGCAATTTGTCAGAAAGCAATTTGACCATATGTATTTGAAGGGCATGCTCAATCACTAATTCATGACCAATTCTTTGTGACCCCATGGACTGTAGCCCACTAGGCTCTTCTGTCCATGAGATGTCCCAGTAAGAATACTGGATGGGTTGCCATTTCCTTCTCCAGAGGATCTTCCCGAACCAGTGACCAAACCCATGTCTCCTGTATTGGCATGCAGATTCTTTACCACTGAGCCACCAGAGAAGCCCCGACCATATGTATACATACTAAGTCACTTTAGTCATGTCCAACTCTTTACAACACTATAGACTGCAGCCTGCTATGGTCACCTATTAAAAAAAAGTTACAATCTTCTCAAAGTCAGCTAAGAAGACAGCATTAGTGTTGTGACCTTGAAGGCAGACAAAAATACGAAATGTGAGCCAAATCTAACAGGCATTTTAACATTTCTGAGCATTCTAGTCCAGGACAACTGACAAATTAGGGAAGAACCAGAGGTAGACAGACTGCCCAAGCCCCACCAGGTGGACAAGACCTTCCTGCTCAAAGCAGATGGGAAGGTCTGAGCTCGCTCAGTCCACAGGAACCGGAAGAAGAGGTGCAGCATGTGTATCAAAGGAGGCCCCAGCTTGGCAGCACCCCAGGTCCCCACATCCCAGCCCACATGATACCCCCAGATGACAACATCGACACGCCTGAGATGACTTCCCTATTGCCTTAGTGGTGTCTCTCAGCCCTCAGGGAGATTTAGATTTTGATATTATTGTGTTTAGCTTCAAAGAATAATCTTTGTATTTGGCACTTAAGTTGTTTGCAGTATTTAAGAAAACTTGGCAAATTAATCTTAGACATCAGCTTTGATTCCAATTTAAAAGGTGTAACTGAGTTACTGATTTTATACATTTCTTTTTTAGTGAAAAGGTATGAGAAATTTACTAAGAGTGCAAACATTTCTTCCCTTATGCAAGTTTACTGACTGCCAGGGACTATTCTAGGTCCCCAGGGTACAGCAGTAAACAAAATCAAGTTCCTCATCCCATGGAAGCCACTTCCTGGTAGAAGGCTTGGGAAGTGTGATAACTTGGGACTTGCCACATGTGAGATTTTGAGTGATTACATCTACTTGAGAAAGTTTTATTTAATCAGATAGTTAAGATGCTTAAAATGAAAAAGGTCTCTACTAAACACTAGGTTTTCAAGCTGCATAAAGAGATTAAAGTTGTATGTGGGTACATGGTATATGTAAAAATGGTACATGCAGTCTGATCATCTTGAATTGATCAAAGGCTGTCTTACGGGTGAAAGATCAAAACTGACTAAACTTATAAAGAGAATAATAAAAATTGTACAGAAAAGCATAGAGAAAAAAACAGGCCTGTAGCCTTAATAAACATTGATTTTATTTTTTATTTTTAAAAGTAATTTTATTTGTTTATCGGCTGTGATGCGT